TAAAGCTTTGAGATGATTTTTGCATTCCATACTGAAAGTGCTACGCCTCATCAGCACATTGCAAAGCTGCTGATGTTTAGATTTTCAAAAGGACATCAGAGAGATTGTTCAGGGATATGCCTTTACCACTCCAAGCATTGGCATGGCAGCAATGAGAAAATCATACGGATTAACAGCTGAACATTTGTATACATTCAGTAATAACTTTATATCAAATGACATAGAACTAATAATTACTGTATGTTAAGGTACTTTTGCATGTTAATTAATCATAATTACATGATGGCATACAGCTGTATAATTACTATTATCTTCTGTATTGTATCACTGTAGCATTAGATTTGATAGTCTACGAGTTTTCAAAAAGGGGGTTCTACAACCAATATTTTTCCAAGGTGTATATCCACTTTATACTAATAGCTGTTATATATATACCATCAAATATATATTCAGGCTTGCGCCAACGACAGGTGCAAGGTCGCGCAGCGCATGATGGTGCTGAGTCAAAAAGGCACTGGGCAATCATTAAAACAAGCAGTTCGTCTCACTGCCTGTCTGAACAGAAAAATTAATTTCTTATTTGAATGCCCCTCCAGGGTCGATTCAGATAAAACCTGGAAAGCTACTGATTAGGATCTGTACTTAGACAGCCTCAGTTATGGATGTTTAAAATCAGTCTCCGCAGGGACCATATGGCATTCTCATCCATTCCGCTGGACGTGGTTAGCTATACAGTCAGATATTGGGTCATGTTGTCTGGGGTGAAACACTAGTGTCAGTGAAGTTGGTGAGTTCAGCGAGCCTTTAAACTGCTTGAGGTTTCCAGTGGGTGCCTGGAGCCTTGAAACTACATATTAATATCCTTCTTTGGTTTCCCCCTGGGGGCGCCTAAAGCCGACATCTTTATACCATGATGTAGTGTTAGCAGGCTGGATTGGTGGCACGATCTGTCTGACAGTGTTTAAGTGACTTCATTCTGCTGTCCGGGGTTGGGGGTCCCTGTTGATGGCAGATGCTTTGAACCATCCCTCCAGAACGGTGGAGTGGAATGTGAGTTGCTGAGTATTCCTGTCGACTCAGCTTAGTCTTATCTCGTCGGCTCGACCTGATAGGTTAGCGAGTCCCCTTGGATCGCCTCTAGGGGTTGGGGTGTTTAACTGTTTTAAGGTAGCCTCGAGCTTGGCCAGATCTGAGTGCCCCTTCCTCCTAGCACACTGTCTTATTTGACTGAAAGTTATAACCAGAGACAGGAGTTCGTCTCTGGTGGTCTTATTCGTCTGTCTTATTTGAACGTGAAAATATGTGATGTCCGATGCGTATGTAAGGGTAGACGCATTCGACAAATTGTCTTAATCCTTATTTTGTGTCTACTGTTGCAATAGTAGTAATTTGTTACAACATTTATCTTTTTTGTGATTGCTTGTTGTTATTGCTTTTTTTTACATTAAAAAAGGTAAATGCAGTTACATATTATGTTAAACTTAGGGGTAACTTTTTAATTCAGAAAAAGCAACGATTTGAAGCATAATTACTCGAAAACTGTTTACCTCTCATGTTTGAACCATTGTCGTAATTTTCGAAGTGTAAATTACTAATACCTAAACCATTTTCCTCTAAATTTTTTAATAAAAATATTATGTATGTATTTAAAATGTAATGAAATAGCAGAATATTTTCCTTCGGGATTCCATATAGCTAAAAATCAGAAAATGGCTAATTTTTTATTTCAGAATACCTTGTATAATTTTACTTATTATTTATATATTATCAAATCTACATACGTATATTTTAAATTCAGTGGTACTCCAATAAATATGTCAATTCTTTCTTCTCGAAAGATAGCAATTTTTAGTTTAATAAGTAAATGGTTCACGTAAAAAAATTTTTTTCGAGTAATTATGCTCAAATCGTCGCTTTTCTTAATTAAAAAGGCTAACCGAAATTTAACATAATATGTAACTGCATTTACCTTTTTATGTAGAATAACAATAACAACAATCATTCACCAAAAAAAAAAAAAAAAAAGAGAGAGAGAGAAGAAGAAGAAGAAGATAAATGTTGTACAGATTACTACGATTGCAACAGCAGACACAAAAAAAGGACTAAGGGATTTGTTGATCATGTCTACGGCGCCGGCACCTACACTTACAATACGCATTGGCATCCCGCATTTTCGTTCACATATATTTACAAGATCAGCTCAACTTATGACAAAAACTGCAAAAAGCATTAATTAACTGATAAAAATCAAAGCGATATAAATACTATAGATTTTATGCATAAACTGCAGTTTTGCAAACTTTTGGAGGAAATGTAGAATTGCCAGTTGAAATTCTAATCAACATTGTTGTCAACAACATAGCGGTGCGCAAAAAAGAATTTTGGATATAACCCTAGATATCAGCCCTAGAGCATTTTTTATGTTGCTGAAAACAATTTATTCAGTGCAAACTTATTAGATATCTAAATCCATTTATTTTTAATTTTAAGATAATAAATAGTGTTCAGTAATATATTTGGCATGCAATACGTTTATTATTTTGCTTCGCTTGCAGTATTACGTTTTCATAACATGTTGTTGTGGTTGCTGACTAATGCTCACTTGTCTAACCTATAATCAGTCCAGGCCCACGAAATTCTCCGTGGCAAGGAGCGCAAGATACTGCTGTTGTTGGCAATAACCTTGAGCACCTTTACAGGTGACAGTGCGATTTAGCTCAGTTTCGCCCCCAATTTTGATGAAGAGCATCCTGGGAGATGGGTTCGAGCATCTCCCCCCCCTCTTTCCCTACCACCGCCCTTTCGAGAGGATTTTTGTCTCACATATTTAGAGTGCTCCCATGTCACACGAACACAATACATTTACAAATATCCATACCTCCTCCGAGATTTGAACCTGAGCCTTTCGGCATGGTAGTCAGCAACGCTAACCACTACACTGGTTAGGGCAGCTTTTTATAACATAAATATATGTATAATTCTTCAATAAACGTCCGAGTGTGGATTTTAACAAAGCACAAAATGTTTGCATATTTAGACAAATTAAAAGATAAAATGTAATGTTTTTGGTTTTTCATTTTAAATTTTAACTATTAAGGAATGTCCCTTTAATATCGTCACTGCAAGAAGACACTCACTAGACATCTGCACAACAGTGCCAATTAGGCTTGGTGAGGGCCTGTATATATTATCAGGAACTGCTCATTCCTAAATACAAAAAGTGCATATTATTACATTTTATGGACTTGTGAAGATCTCTTTAAATAATTAAGTTAAGTAAAGAAAACTTATATTGTAGTTTGAAGCAGTAAGTTTTTAGTGATGAAGAAAATTTGCTAAAAACATTCAAGATCTGAGAAACTGCACAGCAGTTCCATCTAAATACAAAACCACAAATTATAAAATTGCTGAGCAAAAATTGAAATCATTGTAAACTTAGTAGCACATCAGTCTAAAACAAATTTGCAACAAACTTGAGCTTCTGGTAGCCTTTCAAATAGCACTTTAGTTACTTGAACAACTTGTATAAAATAACATAAAATATTTTAGATCATTTCTTGGTTCTGTTCTGATTTAAAAAAAAAAAAAAAAAAAAAATGCTTCAAAAAGAAATCAGTCTTCAATATTATTAAAATGCAAAAAATTTTTTGCCACAATGGACATGCTTTTTTAGTCCCTAAAATAAACATAAGATATTTAATATTCATAACATGCACACTGATTAAATCAAAACCCACTACACAATTTATTAAAAATATATTCTTCATTTATAAGTCAATGACAAAATATCAGACACAGATCATTAGATTGCAGTACAGCATCTTTTTAATCAGAGGTGGAAGAACACTTTGAATGCTACAGACTTGCCATGAGATTACTTCAAAGTTTGATAATGCTATTTTAAGTATGTAAAACTTACAAATGTCCCATGCTTGCATCAAAGTACATAAGAAAATTTGCTTATTTCAGCAGAACCTTGTGCCTCTTCACTCATTCATAATTAAAAAAAAAAAAAAAAAATCTTAATACCAGACCATCTACTGATAACCAAGATCCTGGTAATAAAGTCCTACTGTATCTCTCTAGGATCTTGCCCAGAGAAACAGCAAGCCAAAAAATTCAGGAACAGCATTAGAGATGGTGCTATAGGCGATGCAATTACAAGTATAGCCTAAAATTTTTGGCAACTCTGTACAAACGTGGGAAGAGTTATGCCTCATAGTATAATTAACTAAAAAAAGGAAAGGTCAATTCTGCATCTTCTGTTCTAGCTGGCCAATCAATAAACATTAAATTTCATTTTTCATGTCTTATAAGTATGGCTTAGATTTACATATAGCACTAGGAAAGCTCATATTTTTTATGCCTCAAATTATACTAAAATGCCGAATTTTATAAAGTTTGGATAAAAACTAATGAAATAATTTCAGTAGAAAGTGATCTCTGCAGTGGCTAAGCACTGATATTAATGAATACTAGCGGTTTGACCTGGGTTCAAATCACGGTGAATGGGCTAACTGCATGGGAGTTTTCATAATTTTCCCCAAGTATAACATGAATATATGCAAGTTTCACTTAGATAATCCCAAACAAAGGTATCCCTTCCTTTAAACACATAGCCTGCAAAGAGTTTTCTAGAACTTAAATAACCTGAGAACACAGTTTAGTGCACTTTTTCACTTTGCCTTTCAGTCAGCATGTGGGTAAAAAATTTTATCATTTCAGTTCTTGTTTGCATATTTTTGTCTCCAAGGTGTAACGAATCAGAAATTATCATAAGTATATGCTTCATGAAAAAAATAACTATATAGTCTCTACAGTATGTTTTACAACTCAATCAACATGTAACACACTCATAAAACATTTCATGCTGGATGAAGTTCTCCTTCAATAAAAATATTACTTTTTTAACTTAAAGGAAGATTATCAATTTAAAAAAACTCTAGTATCAGAATTTTACACACACAAAGCAATGTCTGAAAGTTATTATTTGCTCTTACCATTCCTTTACTTAAAAGGAAAAGTATCCGTGTATACTGTGCACCAGAGATATGGGCAAAATCAGCTCCCACTCCTAAGACATTGCAAGCAGCTATGTACTCTTTTTCACTTGCATGAAAATGCTAGAAAATAAGGAAAGAAAAAAAATTAGCATTTAATTTTCATGAAAAGTACTTTTTAATTTTATCATAGATTTGAAATAAATACTCACTGCAAGTTGAAATAAAAGTCTACAATGCCAAAATGCTGATTGCTGAGAAATTTCTACTGCTTTGCCCAAGATAGATTTTGCCATACCCATCTGATTCTATAAAACATATAAATTAATATAATAAGGTACATAAAATATTGTATATACATCTTCATAAAACTAATGCAATTTCCCATTTACCTAATTCATTTAATATATAAATATGCAACTTTATTAGCTTTTAATACATATATTTAGGCAATTTAAATTTCTAAAAAGAGATCTTTGCATTATTGTCTTGACGTTTTTTCAATGAATCTTTTCAATTAATTTACATCTTTTAAAAATTATTTACTCTTAAATCATTACAATAAACTTGAAATTATTAATTTTTAAGGCTCTACTCTTATACGCACCCTAATATCACCAAATGTGGCGATATGTGTTCTAAGCTGGTTTTTGCCGCGATTCCGTGCTGTGGGATGGTTTGGTAGACGATGCTGTTTGTATGGCAACCTTTTTGACGTTGAAACTTAGAGATGTGGTGGCAAGATTTTAGTCACCTATTTTAGATTGTGTTGAAAGTAAATTTAGTATTAAAAGATACGATGTTGGAGTTGTTAACGAGTCTTTTGTTCACAGCTGTGTTTATGCGGATAGAAGTGCATTTTTGGATTTTCTGTGGGAGTTAGGATTTTTAAAATGGAGTTTGGCGTGTCCGAAATTTAGAGCTGATATGAGAAGTCAGATGAAGAATGGTGTTTCTGATAGACTTGTGTGGGTTTGCAGTCAAATGGTTGCTGGTAAAGTATGTGGCTGTCAGTGAAGTTTGGGTTGTAGTTTTCGTGTAGTAAGTTAACTTTGGAAGTTTTCATCTTAACTTTCGAAATTTTGAATCACAGGAAGACATGTGATACAGCAAAATCATGGCACTTTTGTTGACAGACATTGTGTGAATGGCAAAATTTTATTTACGTATGTATTATGGTAAGTGCATTTTATTTTATTGTTTTTATTTTGTAGAATGTTATGTTCATTGTTTTTTTTACTATGAACTTCTGTTTTATTTGAATTGCTTGTAATTTATTTTAGTTTATTTTGTTGATTTGTGCACAATGCCTAGATTGTGCATTTCGTAGATGTTTTTTGAAGTTTAAACAGAATGCTGTGTACATGGTATTCTTTGAAATTTATTGTTATGTTAATTTATTAAAGCGAGGTGTGCGTAGTTCGTAGATTCTTTCACTGTCTAGATTGTGCAATTCATAGATTTTTTTAAAGTTTAAACAGAATGCTGTGTACATGGTTGTTGATTTGCGAGCAATGCCTAGATCGTGCAATTCGTAGATGTCTTTTTAAGTTTAAACAGAATGCTGTGTACATGGTATTCTTTGAAATTTATTGTTGTTATGTTAATTTATTAAAGCGAGGTGTGCATAGTTCGTAGATTCATTCGCTGCCTAGATTGTGCAATTAGTAGATGTTTTTTTAAGTTAAAACATATTGCTGTGTACATGAATTCATGTCAAATATTTTTGGTTAGAAACTTTACGTTTCTGCTATCTAAATTTTTTGCTTTTGTTTCATATTTTTAGCTTAAATTGTGTGTTCTGTTCAAAACGTGGTTTTTGCATATGCGAAAATTGTGTTTTTGGAGACATTTTAGGCTTAAAGTTCGAAATGTAAACAAAAAATTTAGATAGTAATATGACATCGTGGAGTTTCTCACCAGAAATGTTTGGCGAGAAATTGGGCGACCTGAGGGTGCATATAAGAGTAGTTCTGTTATTAAAATATTGCAAACAATTTTGATCACTAAATGAGTCATTGTTGCAGGACCTAAAATACAAAACTATTTTCATATTTACATGGCTTTATATTAGCAAGATATAAGTTTCTAAAAAAAAAAAAGAAAAAGAAATCCTCGTTAAGGGCCTCTCACTTGTGAAACAAGAGTGTATCCAAGCTTGTGTATCCAAAGTGACTGAGCTGCCCAGTGTGTGGGGGGTATACCTAAATTCCTTTGTTTCTAGGGGTTACTGGAAACCTGGTCCTTCAGGATGGTGGTTGGGACAAGAGGTTGATGACATCTCCCTCTAAAAAAAATTTTGCAGCTAATTCTAAAGAAGGAAATTTTGCATGTCTGCGATGTTATGGTCATGCGATGATTTGTAGATACTTTATTTACCACGATATTTTCGACAACAAATGTTTTTAAACTGTGAAGTTTTTGAACCGCTTTATTTTCGATGACGATGTTTTAGAACTGCGATGTTTTCTCCCACGATGTTTTGTATCATGATGTTTTCGCCTTGCGTTGTTTGCTCTGCGACGTTTTCGTTTGTAACTGAATAAACACATTTTTAAAAGTCAAATTCCGATTAGGCAAGATCTTAATCCTAATCATTAGTAATATAATAAATAATGATTATCATTGTATTTATTTTAACATTATTTTTTCTGCTATACTAGAATTTATTAAAATTTTTCTTGTAAAATAATTTCAAAACTTCAAAAAGTTGTCTTTCTTTGTAGACATATTGTTAATTATATGAATAAAAGTTTTAACACCTGCACTTCTACTCTTTTTATAAACTTTGTAAAAAGTACAAATTAAGTTTAATATGCAAAAGACAATCTAAATTCTGAAAGAGAATATTAGCAAAGCAACCGCCGATGCACTGTCTATCATATTCCTTCCTATTGGCTAACTACATTGGTTTTCGGCGAGTTTTCAGTTTTTTCTTAGTTTAAAAAACGTGCATTTAGAAATTGCACATAAATTAGGTTGGTTAATTATTTAAACATGACAAAGCACACACAGGTTATCTAAATAGGGGGAGAAATTCCTTCATGAAGAACTTATGTAAGGAAAGGTGGCTTGCATTTAGATTGCTGAGGGAGATCATGAAAGCTAAATCATGCAGCCATCCCGTTTGGTTGGGTTGGCTTCTAGGACAAATTACCAGTATTCAGGAGTCTTTAACTACTCAACCACTGGTAGAAACCCTTAAATTAAAAGCCAGTTTATTAGTCTTTAATTTATCATTTGGCATTTTGATTATTTAAAGTTAAATTGATAACACAAAAAAATAAAACTGAATGGAAATTTGCACCCTTCTAAATCCCAAACTGCTTACAAATTTAATCATTTTATCTTCGTGCCAGACTGTTTACGTGCAATAAATATCTTTTTTGTATTTGCTTTCCTTTACGATGTTGCAATTTTAATGGCTAGCAGTGTATATGTAAATATTAAATAACTTGTGATGCATAGCTATTGAATTAATTGATGATTTATTGTTTACCATAGACAATTTTGTTTTCATGTATATTTATAACAATTGACAACAAATCCCACTTTCTTAAGCCTGAATTGCACCAGCATCGTTTTCTCTTGCCAATATTACTAAAAAAGCCTCGCAAACGAGAAGACAGGTAGCACTTTCGACACACAACATCCAGCAAGTGCATCAAAATGTCCATGTTGCAGACAAGAATTGGCGAGAATGAGCTCAGCCAGGGAGTCCACTCAATAACAGAGAACGTTTACAACAGAGATCGGTCCAACTTCAAAATTTGACAGTGCAATCTCCAAAGAGCAAGAGCAGCCACACTCAATTTCATGGAGGTGATGTCCTCCAGTGCAGCAGACCTGGCACTCTTACAAGAACCTTACTTGAGGGACGGCAAACTTCTTGGCCAACCTTCAACAAGTAAATTCTACACCTCCAGTACGGGAATCGCAGCCATCTTGTATAACAACCCTCTCAGTCCATTGCTTCTGGATACGACAGATTACACAGTAACAATCTTGATTGAATCCTCCAACATGAAAATAACAATCACTTGCTTTTACTTCCCCCCAAGCATGCAAATTGAATGCCTGCTACAGGAATTAAACCCAGTCTTACTACGAATATTCCAGAATACCATAGTGGCTGGTGACTTTAACCTTTTCACGACGGCGCACCTTTGTTTAAGACGCTCGTGCGGGACGGAAGAGAATCGAAGGCAGTCACCGTACAGGAAGGAGGTTTTGCATCGCTAAGCCTAATTTTATAACAAAACTCAGAAAAACAAAAGTTTCGCTTCTAGCATTGTAATTTTTGGTATCATTTTAGATTATTACTTGAGCTCTTATATATGTTAAAATTACCCCTTAAAACATTTTTTTCTTTATTTTACATGAAAATATACGAGGGCTATCCAGAAAGTAGATTACGTTTTGGAATAAAAAAAAAAACAAAGTATAGGAAACAAATTTTATTATATACAGATGAAAGCCACACTCAATACTACTTTTCTACATAGTCACCATACAAATTAAGGCATTTATCGTAGCGATGTACGAGCTTGGAAATTCCTTCGTCGAAAAATTCGGCCGCCTGCGCCTTCAACCAAAACCACTTCGTTACCTCTTCTTGCCTTCCATCTTGCACAAAACTTGTGGTAACCAAGCTTTTCGCTGATGATTTTCGTGCAACAAACTTCGCGAAATTTTGTGGAAAACTCAAAGAAAGTTCCGTTATTGTGAAATTTCGATTTTCACGGACTTTAGCATCGACCTTTTCGAGAAGTTCGGCGGCGGTCACTATGCTGGGTCTCCCCACTTCGATCTTCGTCGTGAACATTGGTTCGGCCATTTTGAAATCTTATGACCCACTGACGCACTCCACCTTCAGTGATAATGTTGTCCCCATACACTTCACGAAGCTGCCGATAGATTTTCTATCGGTTTACAGTTTTTTGCAGTTCAGAAACCTTATTACTGAGCGCACCTCGCAGCTCGCGGGATTTTCATTAACGCAGACATTTCAAACCGTCACAGTATCTGAACGGAGCACAGCACGAACCTCTCACTAGCACGGCTAGATGCAGACTGAGCTGCGCAACGCTCTGACCCCAAGATGGCCGCGCTAGCCCCGCCCCTAGCGGACACAGACGGAAACGTAATCTACTTCCTGGATGGCCCTCGTACTTAAAAAATTGCTTATCTTCTAAAATAATTTTCAGAAGCGCTATTCAAATTATTCCAAAGTTTTAATTGATAAAATCCATCAATAAATTTTTAAATTAATAAAAGAACACAATAAAGTCTATTACAGTAAGAAGTA